TCTCATTAAAAATGAGCAACAACAAAAATATGAGAAAACTGCCATTTTGCCATTTGTGATTTCACTTCTGCGACGTGATTTAAACCTACCTTAAGGGAATGTGTGACTATTTAGTTGGTACTCATGATCTCCATGGTGATACTTACTTTATTTTAGTAATGCATTAATAAAAACCTGATGAAAACATGTCATCCAACCTTAGTCAAAGGGTGGTCTAGGCACCTATATAATAATGTCACTGGAAAATAAAATGTTAAATTCTACATGGACAATGTCTGGCCTTGTAGACCTTCAATTGCCAAGCTGTCATAAAGTTGAAATCAAAGCTTTAAATGCATTTAGTTTGCTCAGGTCGGAGCACCATCTTAATGTTCAAAACATAAATGAAAGATTTACAGTTGCCGACTATTCATACGTGAACAGCAAAAAAAGGGCTCACTCGACAATGAATAAGTTCCAGGTGCACGAACGCAACAAGACTTGAAAAGAGCCAAAAAAGTCAGCACACTAAATGTCCTTCAAGTTTCCTTTTTTTGGCCAAGAGCAGCGTCTAAAACAACAATGGATGCATTTCAGCACTAGACCTTCATCAGCCACTTATCGTACATTTTCTTACATTCCTCCTCTAATGCATTTGAGTCATCACATAGAAACAACCCAATCAGACACAATGGTTGAATGAGAGTAATACATTTATTTTACTTCACATCTATATCCACTTGATTAAGCTGATAACTGAACACAGGAGAGTTGATGTCAAACAGACCCATTCGGTGTTGTGGTTTCACTTTAGTAGATTTTGGACCCAGCCCACATGCTATCAGAAGACAAGTCATGTGAACGTTAGGGGAGAGAGCGAATAGGAAAATCAGTCATCGTATTGTGAAGCTGCCGTTTTAGAGGTTGATTCTAACCACACTGACCATGAATACTTCTGACGTACATTCATAATGGATTTTGAAACTGTGTTATATATTTGAGGATAGTTCTAATACATTTCCGCTGTTTGAATTGGCAGTTCTGATGTCTGAAGGTAATAGATCGAATCCCTTTTAGTCACATACTGTTCTTTTTAAAGGCTGAATGCTTCAACTTCAAGTGCACAGCGTTTTCAGATGGAATTTTTGTTTCTAATAAGCGCCCAACATTTCACTGAAGCTACAGGTGATGCTCCATGTTTGTGTGTGTGTGTGTGTGTGTGTGTGTGTGTGTGTGTGTGTGTGTGTGTGTGTTGCTGTGCCACAGCAGATTAGATTAATATCCCTCACAGTGTGATGTTAATGATGCCATTATTGACGCTACAATCCTGTTATTGACTCCATTCTGCCCTGTCTCCGTCTGTGGGAATATGAATGTGATGAACAAGTTCTCTGAATGTAACACAGAAGGCTTTTCATCCCTCCTTTCTCGCCTTTATGAAGTCATTTTCTCGAATCTTCACTCCTCTCTTATCACCATCTACTTATATCACACCGACAAAGGAGGATAGCTTCATAAATGTGGTCAGGTCAAAATGGTCTTGACTTCATATTATATTGCTCTCTCTGTTGTCATTACTGTCAGTGGAGTGTAGCACAATAGGACTCTGGCTCTTAGACCTTGAAATCTTTCTCTCCTCATTGAAATTACCTTCCACTTCATTTCATACAGCCTTTTAATGTTCAAGATTTTCTTTAGAGGATGAACTTTTACTTATTTCCAAGGTCAAGAATGGACTTTCATACAATAAAACACCATGAAGAAAGCTGAGACTCAAGAGGAAAAACAGGTTTAAACTGTCTTCTTTATATGTAGATTTCCATTGCGTTCAACACAGTCTGTGCAGCTGTGTAGCTCTCTATACTCTAGTATCTTTCTGTTTACACCATGCAGAGTTTGAAATCATGCTAGCTAACAGTACAGAAGTTTGCAGGGTAATTTCCTCCAGATACACTTTTTAAGATTTTGGTTGAAATTGTCTTTAGACGTAGCACTGAGGGAATGCTATTTTCAAAATCATGCTAGTTTTTTTTTAAATTACCAACCCTGCCTTTAATTTATTAAACAGTTTACCTCTGTTTTCTTTAAAGGCATGATCATGACTTAATGAGGTAGAGAAGTGTGAAAAAAAAAAAAAAGTGGTGACACCAGCCCTGATCTCTTACCTTCATCCATCTATCCCTCCACCCGTGACCTCATCCCATCATCCCGGAACCTTTCCCATCATCCCTTCATCCCTGGACTTCTACCCTCATCTGTTCATCCCTCGACCCATAATCCCTTCATCCCTCGACCCTAACCCCCCCTCCCTTCATCCCTCTATGCTCTAAATGATGCACACGTTTGCCATAACGTTAAAATTGCGTTGTCATGCACATAAGCAACTTCCTCCACACATGCCTCACTCCCAACTCATGCATGTTTTTTCACTCTTAAAACTCGTAATTCTTTGCTGCAACGTTTGCTTTAAGACTGTAACGACAGATGCCACGAGCTGTGGAAGCCTTCTCCCTCCACTGACTTAACAGGAGAAAATCTCCAGTCAACATTTTAATGATGAGCTAGTTAATCTTCTTTTCCCCAGTGGCATCACGAGTGCTCTCGCTGACAGTTGCGAGCAGCAGAAGTGATGAGAGATGGCCTGTCATCTTGCTGTTTTCCACTTTAAAACATTCATGTAACTATTTGTTTTATTAGGACTCGCATGTTAAATCTCACATAGCTTGCACTGATTTCTTTTAAGTTAGCAAAAGACATGGACACATTTATCTCATTATTCCGCATGTCACAACAGATCAAGTGTCTGATTGAGAACATGGCTGCTGCTTACATTGATCTGTGTAGATAATCATTGACAGAAGCTACATCACTGTTTCCCAACCACACTTGCAATCCTTTAATGTAAAGCAGGTTGAATTTACCATCAAGTGTAGGAGATTACGCCATACGTTGAAGTTGAACAAGAACCAAACCCTTAATCCATAGGTAGATGTTTTCCAGCTCTTCATCCTGATAATCAGCAGCAAGCTTTCTGTAACCCCGAACAGCAGCAAAGACAACTCTTTTGGGGGGGGAAAAAAAAAGAAGGAAGTGAGTTAAACAAGTGTGAAGTAAAACATTAAACCCCCTGTGGCGGCTTCTGAATATTCATTGAAGCAGAAGATTTTACAGATGATACAGAGAGGTTTTGTTTTTCAGAGTCGATGCACCGCATTGCACTTCTTCAAAAGGTCAACAACACATAGTTCCATAAAGCTGAACGAGTGAATATTGTCACGCACATGCAGTAATTTAGCCGTGTTATATCGGCCGCAATCTATAGTAAACAATAGGATTATACAGTGTTCATCTGTGCCACATGTACAGACTTAACGTGGTGGATATGGTGATGGGTGACCTAAATCTGACTCTACATGCCTTTCATCTTTTGGTTTGGTGCTTCTGTGTGCCGAGCAGAGCAGGATGTTTTATTTTATCCTCCGTATTTTGTATTTATTCATGTTGTTTGTGCAGTCCCTTGAAGAGAAGTTTTGATATTGTAATCTGTGTTAAGTGACCCCTGCTTCTCTCCCCCCCCCCTCTCTGTATAGAAAACGGCTCAGCAACAGGCTTTGTCGGATTGTGTTTGTTGTGCCTGTGTGATCATATTAAGTGTGTATTCTGGCTGTATTTGATTTGAAGTTCTATACAGTGGCACTGCCAATACCTGAGCATAGGCTACATGCATGGCTGAAAGCTTTAAAACAGTGAAACATTGGGGTTGCTCAGTGTTCGACTAGCTAGCAGTTTAATTATTATCCGGTTATTGGGCCTGCTCTCCTTGCTCTACAACCTGGATGTAAACAAGAACAGTGAATCAGAATCAGCTTTATTGGCCAGGTAAGGAATTTGACTTCAGCCAGCTGTTCTCTCCATGATATTAAATATTAACAATAAACACAAAATAAGCAAAGACTAATATAATAAGACTACACAATCGTGCAGTGGTAAGAAGTGCAAAAATGCTGCAATAATATTTGATGATGGGTGGGTGGGTTAATTTACATGAGAATAGAGAGCTTTTACATTATTTACATAAATCAGTGTGATTGTTTTCAGTATTTACATGATTAACAGACAGCATCTCAACATCTTGCAGCAGCAGAATGATTTGGAAGTATTTGGATCCATAAAGTGGAGACACAGTTGTAGAAAAATAAAACCTTAAAAGCATGTTTTCATGTTTCATGTAACAGTGGCAGAATCCATGGCTGGCAGAGAATCAATTTAGCAATTGGCTCGCAAATTCACACGGAATCAGGAACACAGCGTTTCCTGTGACTTAATACATCATTGTATGTATGCTGCTGTCCCCAAGTGAAATTTGCTATCATGTAACAGAAGTGTGTGAGAGAGTGTGTACTGAGAAAAAAATGATGTCCGTTATACAGATCCCTCCTGCACCCTTTATAGTGGTCTGCTGTCTGCTGTAAGCTGGTAACCTGTGATATCTGTCCTGTGTGTGTGTGTGTGTGTGTGTGTGTGTGTGTGTGTGTGTGTGTGTGTGTGTGTGTGTGTGATAGTGAAACCAGTCATTGGTCTTCTCCTGTGACTGAGAACCTGTGTGTGCTTTTTCTAAAACAATTTTCTCCCAATGGAAGATAAAGCTTACGTGCTCTGTAACTGCAGAGGGAATCAGGTCATATTATGTGCAGCAGCAGCAGCAGAATTGAAACCAATGACTCACTATAAGATGCCATTAAAAAAAAAATATATATATATATATATATATATATATAAGACAGAAGGGGACATCACATGTGACAGAGTATGGTTTGAATGAACTCTCAGCCTATTTCCCGGCAGGCTGGGTAGTTGTGAAACGTATCCCCTGAATGACAGACGGAAAAAGCCTGTCAGTCATCGTTTGGCAAAGTCATGCAGCAGCTGGTAGTGGTTTCACCTATCAGCTTGAGCGTTTGTGTTTGTGTGTTTGAAAATGATAAATGACACTAATTAGCTCTCTCATCTCTCCTGTGTAGTGGTGGCAGCGGAGCCGCTGGTGCGAGGTCTGCGGAAGCTCCCCGAAGATATTGACTGGTCGTACTCAGGTCGGTATGAGCACTTTGCTTTTAAAGGTTAGAGATTTCACTTTTGTAATGTGAGTGGATGAGGTGTTGATTTTTTGACAGGAGGTTGATATTTTGCAGGTGTATGAGCGTAGATTTTGTGTTATATATTCATGGATCTACTATTGAGTTAACAGCTTGTAGCTGTAAGTAAAAGGTTTTAATAACGAAAGCAACCTAACCGGAAAGTTGGGGGTTCGATCCCCAGCTCCTGCAGCCATATGTTCAATGTGTCCTTGGGCAAGACACTTCACAACAATTTGCTCCCGCTGATTTGTCAGCGGTGTATAATGGGAAGTTACTTCTGATGGTCACTTTACATAGAAACCTCTGCCATCAGTGTGTGAATCTGTGTGAATGGGTAGATGTGACCTGCGGTTCTATATCGTATCGCAATATAGAGTCAGAGAATCAGAATCAGAATCGGGGTTTATTGCCAAGTACATTTACACATAGAAGGAATTTGACTTGGTTTATTTGTGCTAAACAATTAACAGGGAAATAAGGGAAATAAAGCAGAACTTTAGACTTTAGGTCTAAAGTACTCCAACAAATCACATTTAAGAAGCAAGTTAAGCTTATTTTCCTAAAAGTACTCATCACTTATAAGATTAGAGTGACAATTAAACAGACACTAACTGCAATAGAAGCAAAACTGTACTTTTAATTAAACACATCTATAAAAAAACAGAATGAGGTGCATATAGTTTTGTGGCACCTATGAGAGCTTTTGCCCACTTAGGATCTTTGTCACACTGGAAGTTTCTATTTTTCATACAAACCAATTTAATTCAGTGCTCAGTATCCTAACCACAAAAACACCCACGGCGTGTCACAATGAATGCTTTTCCTTGCACGGTTTATCTAATACAACCTGACTTGTTTTCTTGTGCAGAAAAAGTTTCAGACTTTCAGATATGCACCAACAAGCGAAGTGAAAGCACCAGAAGACAACTTGCAAAACATAACAACAATAAGAGGCTTTAAAACTGAGGTTGTGGACACTCTAGTACAAAAATGCTGTTAGTGGACACAGGCCCTTATGCCCCAAAACAAGCAAAGTATGGCAATAAAGTTTCTCTTAAGTTCTCATGATTGGAATTTAATGATGCAACTTTTCATCAGTGACAGAGAGTTTCAATTTAAAGCCTCGAAAACAGACAACAAGGAACAACTCCATCAGACAGGCTGAAAATCACATGAATTAAGGGAATTATCCATTAACAGCTCCCTTGAGAGGGCCTCAATCAGCCTCACACCATATGTTAGATGACCTCAGCTAACTCAGCACGAAGCCCCCGCCGGGCTAAGCTGTGGTCCAACAGAAACAAAGCGTGGACGCAGACAGACAGCACTGGGCCCACTGGGAGAGATTAGCTTCTTAGTGGTCGGGGGCAATCAGGAGGAATGATCTGGCTCAACAGGTCATCAGGGGACTGAATACTGAGCTATTACACTTATTAATCTGGAACCCAAATGGATTGATGCTGTTAGCTGAGATGTCATTAAAAGCACTTTTACACTGTACGATCTAGGCAAATGACCTAACTTGTAGTATTCACAAGATTTCTATCAAAAGCTGTCTTATCCAAAGAGATCTCCCCCTCTTGAATGTTAACAATCCCTGTCATTAGAACTGGCAAAGACACTAGTTTCTGCTCTGATTGTTGTAGAAATGTGTTTCTGGATTGGTCTTTGGTGGCCAGACCTTCATGAAGGGGCTTCCAGGAGACCTGCCAGTAATGATGTTATAGCTTTGGATTAATTCAGTTTTTTAGCACTTTAAAGGTGTTGACAAGGAGCCAAATTATCCAAAGAGAACGCTCCTTTCCAAAACACACAGAACAGGTTATTAAAACGTGTACGATCCTGAACAAAGCAGTTTCAATGTAGACTCTTGTAAATGTTTTTTGGGCTTGCATTTGGGGGTTCAAGACTGCTAGCATGTGTTCAGCTGCGCTAGTTAAATGACATCTGGTTAAATTACAAAGAAACCAAGTGTAGATCAGAAAAGTGAGGATGATACTTCTTCCACATTGAGAGAGAGAAGCCTGGCTGCACACCGGCTAAACACTGCAGATTAACTATTGTCGGGTTTATTTCTGCTGAGTCGTAGGCTGTTAGATCTTTACATAAGGAGTTTAATTCATCCAAAATATCACTGCAATAGACTTTAGTCATAATCCTTTATGGAGACTGATCATTGTCAAGCTTTTCCTCCTTTGTAAGCCTTTCTTTATTCTTGTTTCCTTTTGCATCTTGAAGAAAAAGCTAAAGACCAAGCTCTGAACACCTACACAGTTAATGGTATTGAAGATGATGGTTTCATTTAATAATGACGATATTTAGGGTGGTTTGGATGCTGACTAGAAGAACAGCCGTCAATGTTGTGCTTTGTCTTTGTGCACCGCCCGTCAGCACCTGTGTGTCCGATCGGACTTTAACTTGTTAATTTGCACTTCCTGACGTTGTTTCCTCCTCTCTAGATCCTTGCTTCTGTTGTTCTTACTCTCTGATGAACGTCGCTTTGGTTAAAAGTTGTCGAAATTGTCGATTCTTTCAGGCAAGTGATGAACAGCAAGCTTGAACTCTCCAGCAAGACTGCACTCGACCAGCCATTAATTAGCCTAACACTGAGCATTTTTACAACAACTTCACCTTGATAATGTTGAATAAACTAAAATGGATAAGAACTTGTAAACAGATTTCAGGTGGTCCAGAGTTGCTGCTGTGGCTCAGTGAGTAGAGAAGGTTCCCCTCGTACACACAAGTTCAGCTCGACTTGTGACCATTTGGTGCTCGTTCCCCACTTTTCCCGACTCTCTTCAGCTGTCCTAGCATTAAAAAAATGGCAAAAAAACTGGTCCAAATGATTGATCTAACTAATTATAAATGCCTTAAAATCAGCAGCTTAAAAGGGAATCTTACCTTTGCAAAAAAACACGGTTAACATCACTCAAAATCTGTGTTCAAGAGCCACAATGAAGAAAGGGAAATTCATTTATGAGCTACATTAACTCACTAATTGCTTCTCATGGGCCTGAACCTTCCGTCAAATCCACTTTGCACACAGCAGTGAATTTGAAAGCTGGTGACGAGCCGTGTTGTAATGGACTTGTTATATGGCAAATACACACTCTCTCAAAAAACAGTGCAGCCTTGAGATTGGGTTTATTCCACTCGTTTCTCCTCATATTTGTCAAAGCAGCATGAATATGAATAGTCTCGCGTGTGTTTTCATCTGCGGATTGTTTTCTCTCCTTTTTCTTTTCAAATTTTCCCAATCAATTCTGCGGCACATGCAGACGCTTTGACAAAGTGTTATTCTGTTTTTATTTTAGGAAACTCTGGAATGATCATGAATGATGAAAAGAATGTCTTTGTTATGAATGAAGAGGAGAAGCCCTTCTGCTCCTTCTTTCTTTCTTTACCCTATAAACCTTCTTTTCCTCTCTGTTTGGTTTTGAGGTTCATCGTTACATCTGAAGGAGATTCATTGTAACTGTAGCCGGCCCTGTCGTGTGTGTGTGTGTGTGCGTATACGTGTGTGCGTGTACACAATCTTGTTTTTCAGAGCAGCTCTGTTTCTCGCCTTGTGCTGTGCGCTGAGCCGTGAGTAAAAGCATTAACATGTAAAAGAAACGCTCTTCATTGTGAGGCACCGTGCACGGCTTTCTTAGTTGGGTCAGAAGTACAGAGGGGACAAAGGGAAATAAAAGAAAGAGGGGGGCGTGAGAGGGAGAAATTGAGTGAAAGACAAAAAGCGAGTTGAGGAAAAAGAAGAACTCGGCTGAATGGAGGAGAGGCAGAGAGGGAAAGTTAAATTAGTCAAGTAAAACTGGTCTGAATCCAAATCTCGCTGAATGAGGGCTTAAACATTCTGCTCCACAAAGAGGCAGTACGATCTGTGTGTTATGTAATCCGTGCTGGACAAATAATAGTTTTACCAAGTTAGAGACAAACAGAGATGAGGCAAAAAAAAAACTAGCCAGCGAGTACATTTAGCTGTGACTGTCTTTTCAACAAGCTTCTTAGCTCCTAGCTTAGCTTCAGCAGCTAAACTTACTATGAACACTTATGACTTGCATCATTTCAACTATAAGTTTTCACAAATGCAAAGTTGAAAATATTTAAACCATGGTCTTAACTTTTCAGTTTAAACTTTAGCGTTTTGTTGCTTTTGTCTGCCTGGCCGTCGTTCAGATTTCTAAGAGCTGCATCGAGATTTTGCATTTAAATGAAGTAAATTGATTGATGGCATCAGAGGGCTTTAACCTGCTGATATTGTTTCTGGTTGATGCAGAGATAAGACTCTGTTGCTCTCATTTAGTTTCAGTTCTTTATCAGGTACATCTGTGCCAGCTTGAGTTCTTTAATTTGGTCTTAACTCATTCCAAATTAAATCTCCGTATCTTAAAAAAGGTATTCAAAAGTATTAACATCAAACCTGCTGGTACAACTGTGTGTGTTTGTGCAGGAGAGAGTCCCTGCTGCTCCTCATCCGTGTGTCCCTCTCTTCTGTCTCTACGGGGTCCCGGGATCCTTCTGCCTGGAAGACACCCCCCAGGGCCCCATCTGTTTTGAGCGTGTATATATGTGTGTGCGTGTAATAGTGTACTGTTGTAGCCCGGGGTTTTCTCTGGCAGGGAAGCGCAACGGGGCGCATTACATTTTTCAAATACTCCTTTTCAAACATCACAACAAAACTACTACGGTTTAGTTTATTTTTGTAACAACATCAAAATCATTTTTGCATTGTTGCAGCTACAGGAGCCGTTTCAACATGCAGAACAACATCCGTATAAATCAACAGTACAGCTGGAACAACAAGACACATTCTGCTTAAAGTTAAGTTTAAAATAGATGAGAATTATTGGAGCAGAAACATTACGAGGAATCAGAAGTTAGACAAAGACAAATGGAATCTGAGTGTTGAATTCATTGCTGATTATGCTGACGATATTTTGTCAGTTTCTTTTTTC